AGTTGACCTCTGTATAACCGCATCTTTCCCTGGGATGTTTCATAGCCTTGGCGTCCGGTGCTGCTTGGCAGAACCACAGCATTTGCATCATTGAAATGAAGATCTTTGGCTTCATTCTCTTCTTGAAGATGATACTGCACGTGTACCTTCTTTCAAGTGTTGGGGACAAAGAAGATGAGATACATGGTAGATCAGGATCTGGAAAAAGAGCTGTTCCCTTTGCTGTGCAACCAGGAGTATTGCTTAATACTATCTGGTTCAGTACAGAGTGCAGCCATCTAACATGTCCTCTGATAGTCAGCTTCCAGCTACATCATCTTCTGGGCATTTGGAGTTTTTTTTTTCTGGTGTTCCCCCCCTGTCCCCTTCTCTTTTTCATGCAAATACAGTGCTGATAGAAGAGCTTGGCTTGGTCAATCCCTGTTACAGCAGGGCACTTACCCTGTCACGGTCAGGCCTTTCTGTGCTGTCCATCATCGCTTTACTTGCTTAAGGCCAGTGGAAGCAAAACTTTTTACTCTTTTTCCCAGGTGGTGAAAGCATGTAATGAAGGTGTCAGGAAGATGAGCCGAACAGAGCAGATGATCAGCATCCAGAAGAAACTGGAATTCAAGATCAAGGTATAAGCATAGGCTGGTAACCCTTTGTAGGCAACGAACTAACAGCATCCAGATATGTGGCAGTAGTAACCTAGTTGTACTCCTTCTAGTGAATGTTCAGTGGTGGTCTGGTCCATGTTGTCCTCCTCCAAAGCCTTTGAAGGGGATGCTGCTGCTACCAGCACTGCATCCGTGCATGTGATCTCTGTGTGTGCACAGTGCAGAAGCCAGGGGCAGCACTAGGCCAGTGTGTCATGCGTGTACACAGATGTGACATGCTGGCATCAAACCGCCTGCGCGCAAGTGGGTGGCTCCTGCTCCAGGACTCACTTGTGGCTCTTCCCTCTCACCTCTCTTCAAAATGCAGGTCAGCTTTCAGCTATTATTTTACATTACAAATGGTGTTAAAGGAAGATGAAAGCTACAAAACAAAACACGTTAAAGCTGGAAAATACCAGAATGAAGACTGTGTCACCATTTTAATTCAGCCCTGCATTTATGCATTATGTACAGTCTCTAATTACCTGCTGATGATCTATTTTGGCTCCAGTCAGCGAATGACTGAATATTTAGGAGTGTCTGACCAGATCTCATTTAATGTACACCATGAAACTCCAATGCTGAGTATAAAGTTGCCAATTCTTTTCTTGAGTGCTATAGAGAAGCTTCTCAGATCTTCTCAGTCTGCTTCACAAACTTTAAGGAGCATATTTAGCTTCCCAGCAGCCTTTTCATGTGCCTGAACAACTGAAACAAAACAAAAAAAGAGACCATTTGTTTGGAAAGCCACACTGGGCGACCAAGAATTTGATTTTTCCAGAGCACTTTACCAGCATGTCCAGGCTAGACCACAGTCCACAGGACAGCACTAGATTGGGGTAGGTACAAGGCTGCCTTCGTCTCTTGTAAAGCTGAGGCTGTAATGACAGGCAGGAGCTGGTTCATCCCTGGAGCCGGTCTGCCTTGGGCACTGGCTGGTGAAAAAAGTGCAAGGGTGGGGAAAGACAGACTGTGCCACTGTGCGTGTAACGGACACAGGGAGGGAGTGAAGGTGAAAAGTGTAGCAGATATTTTCCAATATTTCAGTCATTTGACTGGAAACGTAGTGTTCTTGTAATATAAGGTGTGCTTTGTTCTGGGCTTCTTGTTTTTAACACAATGTGTGGTAAAACTCTAGCAGAAGTGCTGTTGTGGCTGCGTGGACGGTATCTTCTGCTGGCTGGGTCACACCCAACCAGTGAGAACCCGTTTAGCCTGGGGTTTTTGTAGCCAAAAGGCCGAATGAAAGTCAGTTTCCCTGGCCAGAAAGGCTCAACCCAGGTGATGAGACATGGGATCAGGCTGTGCAGGGCGTAGCCTGGTGTTTAAATCCAGCAGTTGGCACTTCAGCATTGCCGTCCTTGAGTGTTTGTTCATCCTCGGGCCCCTGCCGTGTCCCTGAGTTCTGTTACACGCTGTGCCGGGCTGCGGTGTGGATGGCAGAGCACACTGCCCTCTCTGTGCAGCTCTGCTCCATCCTCTGCTGCGCAGGTTGTGGTGATGGGAGCTCACCAGCCTTCATTTTGCGTCTCTTGTTGCTTTCAGCACCTTGACCGCATCAAGCCCATGGGTTTTTGCTGTTCTCCTGATCTTTGCCGTCTTTTCCTCACTTCTAGTCTGTGCCCATCATCTCTCACTCCCGCTGGCTGCTGAAGCAGGGGGAACTGCAGCAAATGAATGGTCCAAAGACATCACGAACGCTCCGCACCAAGAAACTCTTCAGAGAAATCTACTTGTTCCTTTTCAATGATCTGCTGGTAATTTGCCGGCAAATTCCTGGGTGAGTGCAAAATTTGGGTAGCACGCGGGGCACTTCATTAGTCTTGTTTGCCCCTGGGTTTATCCAAGCTGTGATGCTGTGCCCCCATCCTGTCCCCCAGGCACAGGGAGAGCATTCTGGCCTGACCGGTACACCTCCCTCCGGCGGTTACCTTACCTTTGGGCACAGTTGACTCTTCATGGGTGGCACAGCTCTCTTCAGCTGAAAATTTATAGCAAACAGGACTTAAACAGATTCCAGGCCAGGTCTCCCGGCAGGCTAAGCGAGCCTGTATCCACTAGTTTCTGCAGAGTGGCAATGATTTACATCAACTGGTGGGCTGACCCAGGAAGCCTGTCTTCCTCTCAAGAAGTGATTTTTGAGTCATCGCTGCCTGAAGAACAGCTCAGTTTTAGTCAGTTAAACTTCTAAGAAAGCAGGCTAGAAAATTTGAGCATCAGGGAGGGGTATAATTTTAGGCCTGAGGCTGGTGGTTATATTTGACATGGTGTAACCTGCTGTAGGAGGAGGAGAATGTCATCGTGCTTAGGACCAGGTCTTGTGCAACTAGACACTGGTGAAATACAGCAGCACAGACGGGTCCCAGAGAACAGCGTGTTCTTTGTAGCATTAACTAGACTCACCGGTAGGGATCATCTCGCCAGTCCAACGTTTCTAATAAACATGTCGCCGCAGTGTCTGTATGCCTGGAAATATTTTGCTTCTGTGGCAGCTTATATCCAGAAAACACAGAGGCATTTTACAAATAGGAATGAATTAAGCCTCACAGTCCCCTTTGAGGGAGCACCATCTGTGTTTTGTACATGGAGAGCTCAGAGCAAGCAACTTGTTCTGGGCCATGCGGGATGCCTAAGGCAGAGCAAGGAGGGGGTTTCTTGCTCTGCAGTGGGTTTTTGTAGCCACTCGCTCATCCCTTCCCACAGCAGGATATCTTTTTTCCTCCTGCTGTGCAGCGGTTCCAGGTCTGTGTCCTCAGTACAGTTCTGGGTGGCTGAAGCCAAAGTCGCCTGGGATAACTGCAGTTTTTCCTAATCTCCTCTCTAACCTCTCCCAGGGACAAGTACCAAGTGTTTGATTCTGCTCCCCGGGGGCTGCTTCGGGTAGAGGAGTTAGAAGATCAGGGACAGAGTTTGGCCAATGTCTTCATCTTGAGGCTGCTGGAGAATGCAGATGACCGGGAGGCCAGCTACATGCTCAAGGCATCGTCCCAGTGAGTACGACAGTCACCCCGCCTGCACTCAGCAGTGCTCTCTCCCTACACCCGTGCAAGGGCAGCACCCTGCCTGCATGGGGACCAGCTGTCCAGGCTTACTGGGGTCAGGCAAGGCAGAGATCTCGCTGCTCAGCTGGGCTGGCCCTACAAACCTCTCTGCCCAGCATCACTCTCCCGAGGTTGCCTTTGTCCTCTCCTACAGAAAGGCACTAGTGAACTGGGCAGGTTTCTCTCCGGTATGGTGTATTTGTAGCATCCAGGGTGGAGGATGGACAGACAGTTTGCATTCTGGGACAGAGAGGTCAGAAGTCAGCCCTGGTGCAGGAGCCCAACTGATTTACAGCCCGCAGCATATTCAGAAAGAAAAAGCAAGGAGGACGTACGCTGTACGTACTCCAGCAGCTCAGCTGGCTCACTCACTAAGATCAAGGCCGTGCCTGACCAGCCCTGTGAAGCAAAATGGCTCCTGCTCATAGGCAAAGGTGGGAGAAGAGGCCGCTTCCTCAGCACCTTCCACAGCCGATGCCGACGTTGTGCAGCCCTCTGCTGCTCGGGGCCTCCTTGTCTCCCTGGATACAAGATTTTTGGCTCACTGATTTTTTCACTTCAGGCTCCAACAAGCTCAGACTGGGCAAATGATTCAGCTGCGCAAACACAGACCTGATTGTTTCAGAGCTCAGGGCACAGCTTTCTCATTGACCCAAGCTTTACCAGGCCCACGTTTTCTAGACACAGCTTCTGTGCTATTACAGGTGTACGCGTATGACCAGCTAAACAGCTCCTAGAGATGATGTGCACCCCCAGCTTGCTGCTACTTTGCTGTCACTAGGCCAGCGTTCAACATCCATCCCCTTAGCGAACACCAGCCCCAGCTGGGACCACGTCCTGCTGCACCTCCAGGGGCTGCACCCTGACCCCCCCGCAGCGCAGTGTGGCACTGGCATCAGGAAGACGAGCCCCCAGCGCAGTGAGCAACTGCACCTTCTCCCCAGACACATGACTGCAGCTTTGCTGTACTGAAAATAGAGATGTCAGTCACATTATACAGGGCAAACGCACATTTGACGTCTGTGAGACTTAGCTGTGCAGAGAATGATAAACCAGGCCAGGGTTTGCCTCAGCTCAGGGGAGGGAATTGCAGTTCTGTGCTTCTGCATCCTGTCCTATCTTCTGGATGGCCACAGTGAGTATGTGATCCAGCACATGGCTTGCCAACAGGTCTTGAGCACTGAAATGTGATGTAGCAGCTGCTGAAGGCTTCTGTTCCAGAGCTGCAGGGATGATCAGCGGCAGTACCAGTCACAAACTGGAAAACTGAAGAATTAGAAGAGATAAGTGGGTGCCAGAGATTGCTGCATCTGTTCTGCAGGTCTTGCAGCATTGCCCAGCTCTGAACCCACACATCAATGACGACCTGCGTGGTGGCAGCTTGCAGCTAATGCCCTGGGTGGGCTCTGCCAGGAGCTGGCAGTACATCTGGACACAGCGGGTTGCAGGGACAGGACTGGAGCACAGGTGGGCCCCTTGCAGGCTGAGAGGAGCTGGAGGCTGCAGGCAGGATTGAAAGAGCACTGCAAGGAGCTGTGGGCAAGGCCAGCCTGCAGATATGGCCACAAGCACGGCAAGACCTGTCGTTTGATCTCTGTGCACACAGGGCCTTCATCCTCCTCATCTTCATGGCATAAGGGGCTGCACTCAACCTGCGGCTGCAGGTGTTTTCACCGGTCCTTGGCATCGTGCTTCAGCCCTGAAGCGCAAGGTATTCCCAGCCCTGCAGATCAGCCTGCCAACGCTCGTCCTTCACGTCTCCCTTTTAGGCCTCTCTCCTCCCAGAAGACACTCTGGTGGCTTTAGATGTGTGTCAAGTTCAGGCTTTAAAACTACGATCTGAGAAGGTAGAAAGTTCTCGCTCCCTCGGGGCTGGGAGCACAGCTGGTCCTCCAGGCAGGAGCTGAAGGCTGTGAAGATGAACTGCTCCATTTCCAAGCGGGGCTGAGGGAAGCCTCGAGGGAACACCAGGCCTGGCGCTCCCCCCAGCACCTGTGAAATCCTCACCCTCCTGCTGCAGGCCCAGGTTTTGCACAACAGTGTGCTGGATCTGGTGACATGTTCACACGGGTCTCTCATCTCATCCTCTGCCAAGCGAGCAGTACCCTTGGTATGCTGCAGCGTTCGTCTGCGAGTGAATTAATCAGCTCTGCCCTTTAAACGTTCTCATATAGCAGCTGTGGGAATAAACGGTTCCTCTGGCTGCTTTTCTCCGGGAAAAATTGCTCCTATTGACCCAGCCCAGCCAGGAGCTGCCTTTGCTGGTTAGAGCTCAGAGGATGCCAGGCCCGCCGCCCTGCTGCTGGCTCTCTGAAGCCGTGCTGCTCCCCAAAAGGGGGATCCTGCTGCTTGGGGGGACAGCCAGCCTGGTGGCCCTGCAGCAACCCAGGCCTATGCAGCAGGGCCCACGGCACTGTGGCACGCGTGACATCCCAACTGGTGTGGGCTCAGCGTCACCATTGAGTCCAGGACCCGGGGCGGGGGGGCAGGCAGGAAAGGGCCGTGAGAGGAGGAATTAGGAGCCCAGGGCTGACTGGGCAGGAGAGCTGGGGTCCCTACGACTGTCTCACGCTCACAGCCTCGGTTCGTCTCCCCTATCCAGGAGTGAAATGAAGCGCTGGATGATTTCGCTGGCCCCGAACCGGAGAACCAAGTTCGTTTCATTTACATCCAGACTTGTTGGTAAGAGACACTGCATGGGAGCCAGGAGCTCTTCACCCCTAGCCCAAGGCACCTTATTCTGCCCTGATCTCAGTGCAGCCCCAGGCCTGGGGCCTCTGCCAGAGCTGATCCCTCTCCCTGGGCTCCCCTTCTGTTTCCACCATCAATACCCACTTCTCTCTGTGCCTGACCCTGACCTCGCTCCCCTCCAACTTGGGCTGGGCTGAACGAGCACTCTCCCTCCTGCCCAAGCTGCTCACGGGTGGCACTGCGGTGCCGATGCACACCTGGCTCCCTTCCCCCCAGAGTCGCTTCCCCCAGTCCCTGTGGCTGGGGGGGCACCCCTTGGCCTCCGCAGGGTTTCTTACCAGATCAGAGGGACCACTCGCAGAGCTTGCCGTGCTACGCGCCCCGAGCCATGCTGTCCTGCCCCAGGCTCCGTCCAGGTCCGTCCCTCACTCTCGCCCTCTTCCCTGGCAGACTGCCCGCAGATCCAGTGTGTCCACCCTTACGTGGCCCAGCAGCCAGATGAGCTGTCCTTAGAACTGGCTGACGTCCTCAACATCCTAGACAAGACAGACGACGGTACGGTACGGGGGACGGGATGGGCCTGGGCTGGGAGTCCCTGTGGAAGGGTGGGCTTTGCTCAATGCAGGCGGCTGCCGAGCAGACAGGAGAGGCGCTCCAGCCAGGGAGAGACCCCAGCATCAGCATCACAGCAGGAGGGAGTTACTGCCTCCTCCTAACACACAGCAAATCCAGGCTGCCCTGAGCTGTGGCAATGCTGGCACAGCCACCCTGGCACCAGCCGTGGGCCGTGGCAGGGCTGGCAGAGCCACCCCAGATGTAACCCAGAGCTGTTCTTACCTTGATGATGCTTCGCAGCCACCCGGTCCTGGTCTCTGGGGCACACTTGTAGCTGGTGGACTTGGTCACATTGGGTCTTTGCTGGGGACCGCTCTTGTTGCATCAGGGGCAGCGGAGGGCACTCGGGGCAGCAGTGCCTGCTTTCTGCTGGCAGCCCTTGAGCCAGTTGTCCAAACACAGCGCTGCTCAGGTGAGTAGGCTTCCTTGGCTGCATTTACAAACTGGGTTCACTCCAGCACGGGCCTCCGAGCAGCTTCCAGAAAGCACTACCAGCTCCATGGGCTCTTCCCAGCAGAACTGTCCCAGCGCAGGAGCAAGGGCCAGTCCTGCCCCATTTATGCCTGTCTCTGTCTCTGCTCAGGCTGGATATTTGGAGAGCGTCTTCATGACCAGGAGAGGGGCTGGTTCCCCAGTTCTATGGGGGAGGAGATCCTGAACCCCAAAATCCGAGCCCAGAACTTGAAGGAGTGTTTCCGGGTGCACAAGTCAGATGACAGTCAGCGGAGGAAACTGGGCAGCAGAAACCGCCAATGACCACTGGTGTCCCTGAGCGTCTGGAGAGCCTCTGGGAGAGGGGCAGAGGACAGAGGCTGCCAGCTGGGAGGATGTGGCGGTGGTGCTGTAGGCCATGGTGCAGGCCTGGGTGTGCCAGACCAGGCACACGCCCCCCTGAACAAACAAACAGTAGTTCCTGGGCTCCCCGCCATGCTTCCTGTGGCACCGATCCTTTCTTGGAGATCAGTGCTTTGAACTGGCTGGAATAATCCCTTTCCAGGTGTTCTGTAAAGCCCCAAAGAGCACAAGCCAAACAGACACAGCCTGCAGGCCACCAGGTGCCGGCCAGCTGAGCCCCATTCCCTGCACATGTGCTAGCTGGGGCTGGCTCAGGCCGCTTGGGAAAGGCGCACAGCCACAAACCTAACTAAGCAATTAACGTCACCCAGTTTGAGCGCTTACAGCTCGTTGCTACCTTTTGAGTTTGGGGCACTCCTAAAGCAGCATCTTTCAAGGGTAGAAGCTGAAGCAGAGAAGCTGTCTCGCTGCCTCTCACAGCCCATCGGCACCAGGCTGAGACGAGCCCCAGGAACTCCGCCTCCCCAGTCCTGCTGCAAAGCCGCTCGGCCCATTCCCATGGGCAGACCCTCGATTTGCTTCCAGTCAAATGCTCCGAAATGCTCCGTACCCAGTCCCACTCCACCAGCGGCCCAACCTTGCCAGCCCTGACCCACGTCTCTGCCCGCCTGATGGCCTCGAAGCACATCTGGGCCCTGCCCCATGCGTCACCCCCTCTTCCACAACCAGCATCTCTCTGCAGAGCCGCTGCAGAAACCTGGCACCGCGGCCTTTCCCAGTTGATCTGGCACTCACGGTCTCCGCTACTCACTGCTGCCGAGGCACAGAGCAGGGTGGCTGCCCCAGCGCCTCCCTGCACACCACCACGTACCACGGGAGCACCAGCAGACCCAGGCTGCCACGCAGCAGGCGAGTGACCTTACCCCAGGAGCTGTTGTCCTTCGTGCTGTGGGAGGCCCAGCGATCTCTGCCTGCATGCTTGTAACCCACGCCGCCCAGCTGTGCGCACAGACTCCCTGTACGGGCTCGCCTCCATGTATATACGCCAGTCCTCTGTTGCCAGCAGAGCCGGATCATCCCTCCTTCCAGCTGTGGCACTGAGCATCGCATGAAGCCCAGGGCACAGCACTGAGACCAGCCAGGGGACGGACCCATGGCAGCCGCCTGTTGTTCAACAGCCTCGCTCTGAACAGTCCCACACATGGCTGCAGCCGAGGCCCTCTTGGCTACGGGCTGGTCCCCAGCTGCGGCCAGCATCCATCAGGGAAATCACTTATTTGCCATCTTTCTGTAAGACTACAAAGGAGTCTTCTGGGCGCTGTGGCCTGCGCTGCTGTACGTGCCGGCGGTGCCACGGGTGTGCTCGAAAAGGAGATGGCAGGCAGGTGACTGGTGGAGGGGGCA